AAATTACTAGAGATCACATAAGCAAATACAAAGAAGTCTCATATGATATTCAAATTTTTAGACATATATGCATAACAATTAGTTAAGAACTCCATCCAAGATCATGTTGTCAACAACTAAAATAAGCGCTACAACTTATTTAGTTTATCTAAGACTAACTAGTTCTACATCTAAGAAGTCTTATATGATATTTGACTTTCGGACATATATACATAAAGACTAGTCAAGAATCCCACCTACGACTATGTTACTGATAACCAAAGTAAGCATTACAACTTGTCTGAAATTAACTAGCCCTACATCTACGTTGTCTTCCTCCCCTACAGCAAACAAAACTGAATAAAAATATATCATGAGAGTCAAGGTAGAGACTCTCACCAAGAGGGATAGAAGCGGCAGCTAAGGCAAAAAGAGAGCGAACAAGGGTGAAAGGGTTAATGGGAGAGAGAGGGAGGTGCGACTAAGGTCTTTCTTTTTTTGTTAAGATTATAATCGTACTTACGAGTTGATTCTTCTTCTTCAGCGGAACATGTAAATGCAGCACCAAGTAATTCATCGACAATGTATTACTACCAAGCTTTCTCTAATAAAACTTTTAACAAACAAAGTCATGTTGCTGAAAGACTTCCAGTAATATGAGAATCACTTTCAACAAAGAATCACTTTCAACAACATAGAAGCATGTTGTTGAATGTGAGGATTTTAGTAGTGAACATACGATGTGATACTATAATATTTTTAATTGGCTCATCTTATTAGACAAAACAAAATCATCGATATGTAATGTAATGTTGTTGATATTATACCAAGATGCATATTAATTTTACGGTTAATATGCACGGTTTGACAATATTGTCAATATGTATTCATTTACGTACTTGATTTGATGTATAAATAGTCAGCAAGTGTGCCAAACCGACATTATCGAATCATTGTTGCAATCCTTAATTAAAAAATGATACACTTATAATGTTGGATTTTATAAATTTATAAAGATAATGTATTATTATATAATAATTTATTTTATTTATAAATTAAATTATGATATTATATTTATTTATTTATTTAATAATATTTTACATTAATATAATGATATATTATGTTTATAAATTTATAATATTATGTAATATTATAATTACAATTTTCGATTCTTAATTGGCCATATTTAGGGATGGCGGCTAATATCACTCATAATTTTGTTAAGATTACATATTTTAATTGTATAAATTTTACATATATTTATATAAAATCTAAATTAGTAATCTTTTTATTTTCAATGGTCGAAATTTATTTATATTTATTAAAGATAATTATTGTTTTTATATAAAAAATCATTATAAATATCAACCATTAAAATTAGAGAGATAAATTATTAAAATTTTATATAAATATGGTGTGTAAATTTTATATATGAATAAATCTTTTCTCTTGTAATAAATATTAATTATTTTATTAGTTACTAACTATTTTTAAGAATTAAATTAAATTAAAAATTTGATAACCTATGTGGTCCCAACAAATTTATTGTTAGAGTAATGACATGAAAAAAAAATTTATATAATTTTTTATATAATTTTTATATATTATTAAATAAATATATATATAATATTATAATTTTTAATTAAATAAAAAATAATTATTAAATAATATATAAAATTGTAATAAAATCTTAAAATTACAATAAAAAAATTATCTTTACGTTATTCTCTACGCTGGTGCCATAACAATATATAGCCCATATGCCCTGTAACAAAACTGAGTGGAGAAAATCATTTAGTCATCCAAAGTTGACCGTGAAATGGCATAGGTAATCTACATTTGTCTGGTCCCAACAGCCAAAAATCTACAGTCTTTCCATCCATAATTAAAGATTTACGAATAAAATATTTTTAAAAGAAACAAGAGAAAAACACCTGACCTTGCGGTTTAGTGGGCAATAGTCACCCGATGCATTCCTCTTCTTCGGGTTGGGTTCGAAACCCGCCCTTTGCAAATTTGTTCAAAAAAAAAAACAGGAGAAAAAAAAAATAATAAAGAGAAAAAGAAAAGCATTATCCAAGAAAGAGAAAAAGGTTGTCTTCAGAAATCTCCACCGTATCTTATCAGAAAGGGAAAGTGTCTGCCGGTGCTGATGATCGAACTTCGATTTTGGCTTCACCAAGGATAAGAAGATGTCTCAGAGATTCTCAGAACCTCCTCCAAATACTCAGCTCCTAGATCCTCCAACACCACCACATTTTCCATTCTCACCGCCTCTTCCTCCTCCTTTTTCTTCTTCTTGCCCACCTTCCTTCCCTTCATGGAGTATCTTCGTTTCATGGTCAGCACAGGTGAGCATCCCTCCTCGAACCCGTAGTTCATTTCTTGAAGCGACTGGTGAACCTTCTCCACCGGAAAATTCAGTACAGCCATCGAACCCCGCATGGCTAATGCGGCTTGGTCGTAAGCTAGAGCTGCAGCCTCCGCAGTGTCAAACGTTCCCAGCCAAACCCTCACTCCATTCCTCGTCGAGTCCCTTATCTCCGCCGCATACTTCCCCCACGGCCGCTTCCTGACCCCTCTGTAAGAAACTTCCCTAACCGGCTCCTCCTCTTCAGCAGCTGCCTTCGAGTTCACCTCATGATCTTCCTGAAACTCAACCGGAGCTTCATTTAAGACCCCATAGAGAAGCATCTCCTCGGAATCATTTTCATTGAAAGGAAGAAATTGGTTTTGGGGAGTGTAGGAGTCTAGAGATGAGAAATTTTCCTGGGAAACAAACGAGGAGGAAGATTCAGGAGAGAATTCTGAAATTCGGTCATGAAAGAATGAAGAATAATACTCCATACTTGGATTTTTTTTTTTCCTTTTGGTTTTTTTGATGTTTCTATGTGTTTATGGCAGATTTGTTTGGAGGTTAGGGGTATATATAAGGAGGAAGAGGAAGAGGAGGAGGAAGTAGTGAAGTGAAGTTGGAAGCTCTGGAAAGGAAGCAGAGAGGGATTGGTGGTGGCATGGCACTGAAAATTATTAAATTTGGTTGTTAATGGCTTCCACGGGAGGAGTTGGTGCACGTGAGTCAAAGGGCATGGCGGCCAGGTCAGATGAGAATTCCATGACTTCAGCTTAAATTTTTCATCAACACTGAGGTCAGCTCTATGATATCAGTTCTCCATTTGGCAGTACGACACCATGCCAACGTGGCAATCTCATCTCAATCTTAATTTAATTTCGGCAGAAGTTACAAATTGCACTCAATATTTTTGAAATGTAGCAAATAACCACCTCAAATTTTTATTTTAAAGAAATCAATTAAAATTTAATAGTTATTATTAATTTTTTGTTAGATTTTAAGAATAATAATTTAATGGAGTTAACAATAACTATTAAATTTGAGCCAATTTCTTTAAAATAAAATTTTGAGGTGCTAATTTGCTTTAACTTTTTTTTTTCTTTTTCTTTTTTCATGAGTTAATTTAGTTTAATTCAAAAATATTGGGGTGATTTGCACATTTAGTCTTTAATTTCCCTAAAATTAAGTTCCAACTTATAAGCCAAAATTAGTTGTGGATTAGCTGTAACTACCACACGAGACTTACCTGGCTTCAAACAAGTTAACACTAAGTTGGAAAAGGCAAAAAGGCCTGTGAAAGTTTGCAGCCCAAACCTCAGTTTTTAACTTGGAAGTGTTTAGCATGGTTTTCGATAAATCATGTATCAGCTATGGTTACCACACAAGACTTGATCGTTGATGAATCGTAGATCAGTTGTAACTACAACACAAGACTTATCTTATTACAAGCACGCTAACACCACACCAAGTTGGAATCGGTTAAAAAACCTATGAGAGCTACAGCTCAAGCTTTGATATTGAGCTTTAACAAAAAAAAAACCATTGTGTAGCTAAATCAAATGAAGAACCTCTTAAATTAAGGTGTGAACCCTCTCCCATTAAATAACTCGAATTTTGGAGTCTCCCACTTGCAAAACACTGATATATATATATATATATATAAAATTCATGTTCACACCTCTTTTGCTTTAGTGCCCGAGCGCAAGTTGGTGAGCAAAGCGCTGTTCCAAAAAAGTAATTTTACCATTAAATTGATGTCTGTAAAATAAGCAGAAAAATCAACCCTCTGCCTTTTTTGTGTTTACACATTTGATAACAAGGTAGGGACAATATATAAGAGCTAGCCTAACAATTCAGTCCTATATATGATGATTAACCCTTCTGTTAGGTCTCTAATATCAGTTTGACCCGAAATTAATTCCCCATGCCTAATGATCATACTATCAATCATGCACAGCTTAATTAATATTTAATCCCATAATTGAAAAGTTGAAAACATGTTCAAACATACCTTTTCTTTAGAAAGAAGCTAAGTTAATCCTTTATATGTGTGTTCTATTTCAAACATTACTAATACTTTCATAATATGATTATAGAAATTAAGTTTGCATTCCAGTTGTGACTATCCTTGTAGTCTAACCCAAAAAACATGAACCTTCGTAAATTATATCATTGAATTCACATCTTGCTCTATCGCAAGTATGACCTTATTGGTCCCCACTATATATGTCGGTATATGAGATATTATACAAACTGTGAGCAGCATTTAGTATTGTGACCACTCAAGTAATAAGAGTATTGGATCCCCAACAGATCTTTCCATGAACAAATTTTAAATAATACAATAATAATATCTTGATATATTGAAATGGACGATGATATAAGAATAATTTTTTTGTATAATTTTTTTATATAATTTTCATGTGTCATTAAATGAATTGATGCACTTAATATCATGAATTTTAAATAAATAAAAAGAGTTAATTATTTAAATAACACATAAAATTATATAAAAAAATAATACAAAAAAATTATCCCTAAATTATTTTCCTATTGAAACACAAGGCATGGAATATGTGTCATCTCTGTTATTTAGCTTACTTGTGTGATCAAGATCACTCTCGCTAGCTGTGGACAGAGACTTCTACTAACTGCTCCAACTAAAGCAAGGGGACTAGAGATACTTCTCTCATTACCTAGAGTAATGCAGGCTGTCCTGATCATTAATCGGTTCAACCTTCAAACGACTCAAGATGCACAATGTTTTGTGCACTTGGTCCTATAGTGGATGTTCTAATAAAACTTATACAAAACATATTCCATTTTGGAGGTTTCATGTTCATTCCTAGATTCTTCTCCTTCAACAAAAAGAAAAAATACCATGGAAACCTCCCTTAATTCTCTCGATTGGGTGGATTTTGTGATCTGTATCTGTGAGGGAGTGTTTGGTTTGAGAAGTTTCTTGGGAAAAGTCTAGAAAATTAGAGAAGTAGAGCAGAAACACTGGCGGCTTTGGTTTTAGGCAAAACCCAAAAGATAGCCCTCCAACTCACATGCGGACAAACCTTTTTTCTTTTTTTTTTGAACTGTAGCTAAAACATGTGGACAAACCATTGAACATGTACATATGAATAATTTAAATCAATTACTGCACATATTATAGAACAAGTTCAATTAAGGAACCAAGAAAGCTATATAGGGAAGAAAAACAAAAAGTCAGATATATAACATAGAATGGCCCATATGCATGCCTTTTCTTTTAACTTTTTAGAAATGTGCATGAACCTATCTGCATCTGTCACTAAAAGAAAGGACGGTCTAATAAACTTCTTTGTCACGTATCAAAAACATTGGATTTATATAACTGCATGCTTCAAATTCAGCACATTGATTCAATGCTACAGAAAATGTTTAAAATATGTTGTCTAGTTGCCCATGTTGTTCGTTGTACTTGTATGCTTAATAGTCAAAACTAAAGCTTTTTTTAATTTTATATAAAATTGATTGATTTGATGTTGAATACATTGATTCATTTCTTCTCATAAGTGGAAAATTTAAAAAAAATTTAACTAATATTATGTTTGAATTAAGTAAAATAAAAGAAAGGGAAGAAAAAAGTTTTTTAATTAATTAAATTATAATATTTTTAAATATTATAATTTAATTAATTAAAAAACTTTTTTCTTTTTCTCAATATCTCTTCATCTAAATATACTATAAGATAAGATATATTATAAATTATGATAAAAAGAGTACCCACAACATCAGCAGCGTTGGATGGAGAATAGAGTAGCCCAAGATGGACTAGGTTCATCCATGGTTCGAATGACAGCATATATATGTGTGTGAGAGAATAAATGTTACTCATTGAAAAATAAATATATGAATAGTTAAGATAATATATAAATGTGATGTATAAGATTTATATATAAATAAATTTTTACTCATATATATATATATGGAGTCCTTCGTTAATTACCCTCACCCTTAATCTCTCCATTTTTTAAAAAATATGATGAAAGGAAAGCCTTATTTTATAAATAAGAACTTACAAAGTTACAATTATATACAAATACAAAGGAAATGAGGTACTTTTGAGAGGATATCTTAAGTGATTAAAAATTTAAGATTCTAAATTAAAATTTTCAAATTCAAATTTTGATTTTTGTTTGGACATTTCTTTGGAATGGAGGCTACCACACAATTTTGCAAAAGTAGTGGGATGGGTCCTAATTTTTATATCATAGAACTATTATAGTCTCAGGTGTGGTGCAATAATGTAATTAACATTGAGAGGTAAGAGAGAGCTAAAGCTGAGCTAAAGTCATATTTGGGTTTTTAATTTTTGTTGTCTCTCTTTTTAGTGGATTAGTGTTCAAGCTATTTTATACCTAAGTTGGGAGATTGTTCATATCAAATAAGAACATCTATGTGTAGGATTGCCTCTATAGAGGTGAAGATTATCTTGTAATAGTTTTACCTCTTTTATTAATATAAAGACATGCCCAAAATTAACCAAAAAAAAAAAAATCAAATCTTGAAACAAATAAAAAGAGATAAGAGAATAAGAGAACTATCTTTTATTATATAAATTATTATCTAATATTAAAAACAAACAAAGAAAATGAGGTGACTCACATAAAAATATTTGAAAAGAGTGTGGCCATTGGTTGGTGGTTAAAAATTGTTGAGCAATTTAAATTATAAAATTTACATCATTAAATGAATGAATTTCTTAATATTAGAGATTATTTGTCAATCTATTGATTTTTATTTTGTAGTTTATATATTATATAGAGATTTATATTTTATAAGGTAGATTATACATTAAAAATACAATTTATCTTATAAATTTACTTAAATACTCTTAATAAAATAATATAAAAAATAATTTTATTAAAAATATTTATATAAATTTATAAAATAAATTATATTTTATTTTTAATATATAATCTATCTTATAAAATACTTTTTTATACCATATATATTGCAAATCAAGAAGAAGTAAGGAATTTCATTCTTTAGTTTAGGTTCAAGGTCACCAACTACTATTATATTTTTGGTACATATGAATAGTTTATATAAAAAGAAATATTTTTTTTTGAATTTTTTTCACTTAATTTAACATTTAAATTTAAAATCTCTAATTTATAATTTTAAATTATTAACTATGAAATCATTCTATTGAAGGCACCAACTACAATAATAGTCCAATGATCGTAACTTCTTTTAAAACAAATGGTGGTATTTAAGAATTTAAAACTTAATCTCCAATTGTATTAGATTAAAAACAAAAAGGCTTAGGTTTCAAGGTCTGGAAGAGGACTTGAAAACACCGAATTTGTCAGAGAAGATATCATTGCCATTTAAAAATGGAGCAGAAAACCAGGTTGTGTCACATATGAATGATTCAGTGCTTTTCCTTTTACCAAAAACAAAAATTAGAGAGAGAGAGAGTGCTTTTCTGTTTGGAAATGATGAAGATTTGAAATTTTGACCAAAACATCAGCGTCTACGTGGCAGAGGAACCCAACTACAATAATGCTTTTATCCTTTTTCACCAAGAATGGACATAAATATTTTTTTATTCATTTGCAATATGAAACCCCTCTTATTTTAAACTATATAAAATTATAAAATAAATTTTTTTATAATATAAATATTATATTTTATAATTTATACTGTACCAACAATAATTAGGCGAAGGCTAATCTCTAAATTTAAAACGCCTAACTCTTACCTAATTGTCATCGTCTAATTATTATTGTTATATAATAATAGAACATAATGTAATTCAAAGAATACCAAAATTTTTCGTTACAATATTAGGAAGCAAGTAAATCAATCACTAAGTAGCCAAATCTCTCAGCCGGCGGTTTCACTGTTGGGGAGACTTGGAATGATTGAAAAAGGCGTGGTTGATCTAGTTTTCCTTCAATATTCCTATTATGGTCTATATATATATATTACAATAATTATTATATTTTTTAATTTAACATATTTTATAATACAATTATTATTTTTTATATTAAGTTACGTAATAAAATTAAAAAAAATTAAAATATTTTGATATTTAAAATGTCGAAATCAAATTTTTTTTCAAAAATTGTTCAAATCTCATAAAATTAACACTCTTTAATTTCTTAACTAATCACATTCCTCCATGTTCAAAAAAAGAAAAAAAAACTAATCACATTTAAATGTCATGGGAATTGTAGTTAAGATTTTTTATTTTTAATAAAAGAAAATTAAAACTAAGCCATCTAATATAAGGTGTTAACACAATTCACATTTAATATGACTATGAAAAGTGATAATCTATTCATATTATATTGTATTTAATATAATATGTATTACAAAATAATAAATTTTTATATTGTTAAATTTTACTTTCCATTCCAATGGGAAAAAGCTACTCCATTATATACGTTTATAACTCATGATTTCAAAAAAGGTGGTCAAGAAATGAATAAGATACATTGGCCGTTAAAGTGGTGGTGTCTGGAGGATCATAAAAAAGAGATGAAGAAATGTGATGGTGCTCTCCTCACTTCTCACTCCTCACTGGTTGGTCAATGTTATGTCAGTCAATATGTAGCTATCGCATTTTGGAGAATTTCAATTACAGCTTCCAGAAGTGTTTTTTGATAGACTTTGGAAGTTCAAAGTTCCAGAATATATATTTTCTGGTCAAAAGTTTAGAGGTGGGGTCATGCATGATACTTCTAGAACTAGTAATTAAAGAGAGAGATCCATTTAATCAAACAACATCTCAATTACTCGTACTCATAACACCAAGATTTCAAACTGTTTTTTATTTTTATTTTTTGATGGGACAACATTTGAACCTTTGCATTTTAATTATTAATAACCTTAGCAACAACATTTTTATGTTCTAACTCTTACTAAAATATTACCATTGGATTACTAGATCATTGGTGATTAAATTGATTTTTTTCTTTTTCTAAATTTTGAAGAAAGTAAGAAGAGTTGAGATTGTGTTTTTGCTTTACATTTTTTTGAAAGAACATATCAAGGAAGCCACACATCGTTTTGTAACCAACTTGACTTAGGATATAGAAGTTTTGGATACAAAAATTGAGACAATGATATAGTTGATTACAAAAGAAGAAAGAGTAATTATATGTGATGTAGTCGATTACAAAATGAGTAATAACAAAACAAATCACCCCGCCAGGAAGGCAATCTTCTCATTTTTTTTCTTTTCCAAGGGGAAGGAGTGGTTAATCGGTTACATGATCATTTTGCAAGTGTAACCAGCTAACTCTTTTTCCAAACTGAGCCAACATCATCAAGGCCCAGCTTCGCTAGATTCTTCTCCCTAGGAAAACCAGAACAAAGCACTACCTAATAGAAAAAGAAGTAATGAAAACAATGAAAATGACATAATTATAATGTCACCTGAGATTATAAGTTTACAATCCTAATGTTATTATACGATTTGACTCGTTTTATTTAAAAATCTATTTGTTATATTTTATAAGTCAACTTATTTAATAACAAACTTCCAACCTTGCTAGTATTATAACTATGTCATTGTTACGAAGCAATTAGACACCTAACATTCTCCAAGGCTTCTTCACCGATCCATTTATAGGGTGGGGAGCCAGATTGAACTCACTAACAAATGGCCCAAAAAGGAACTCATTCAATTATACATTGCCATAATTTGGTCCACACCTTGACTTCACAAGCCTAAAACGGCCTGCAAATCTGTAATCAGATTAAAGCCCAAAACATATATTAGCCCACCATGCCCCCCAAGTTTCCTGCACCTCCTTGTGTAGAAAACCAGACATTCAGATAAGGCATTGGAAACACTGTCTCCTTCAATTTTCACCCAACATTTTCTCAGCATGATTTCTCTAAAACCCTTCATCTCCCTCACCAAGCTCCCATCTTCTTCCTTCTTGAACCTCAACCCATCTCTGCTAATCCTCCACCGCCCTCTTCCTTCTTCCTCTAAACCCCTCCTTAAACCCATCTGTGCCACCCTCATCCCTCCCAACCCACAACAGCTGCAGCCAAAACAGCAGCAGCTCTACCAACCCTTCAGGCCTCCCTCGTCTCCTCTTCCTTCAAAATTCCGCTCCCTCGACATCCCTGCCCGCCTTGACGTTCTTGCCAACAGACAAGGCCTTTGGTTCGAGTATGCTCCCCTCATCCCGTCTCTTTACAAAGAAGGGTTCAATCCTCCATCCATTGAGGAGTTAACTGGGATAACCGGGGTCGAGCAGAACCGCATGGTGGTCGCTGCACAAGTCCGAGACTCTCTTATTAAGTCCAATACCGAGCCGGATGTTGTGGCTTCTTTTGACACCGGTGGTGCGGAGCTGCTTTATGAGATTCGGCTCTTGAGTGCGTCGCAGAGGGCTGCTGCAGCGCGATTCATTGTGGAGAATGTGTTTGATGCCAAGGGGACTCAAGACCTTGCCCGGGCTATGAAGGATTTCCCTCGTAGGCGCGGGGATAAAGGGTGGGAAAGCTTTGATTATACTCTCCCCGGAGATTGTCTGTCGTTTATGTATTACAGGCAGAGTAGGGAGCATAAAAATCCATCGGAACAAAGGACATCTCAATTGCAGCAGGCGTTGGAAGTCGTGGAATCTGAGAAAGCTAAAACGGAGGTATTGAGGGAATTAGAGCGTGATGGTGATGATAAAGAAAAGGAAAAAGAGGAAACTGGAGCGAGGGTCCGGGTTCCAGTAGTCAGGATGCAGATCGGAGAGGTTGCAGAAGCCACGAGTGTGATGGTATTGCCTGTTTGCAGGGCAGCGGAGAAGGAGAAAGAGATTCTGGAAGCACCATGGGAGTGTGTAAGTCAGGGGGAGTTTGGTGTGGTAGTGGCAGAGAAAGGCTGGAATAGGTGGGTGGTGTTGCCAAATTGGGAGCCAGTTGTGGGGCTGAGGAAGGGAGGAGTGGTGGTGGCCTTTGAAGATGCAAGGGCGTTGCCATGGAAAGTGAATAGGTGGTACAAGGAAGAGGCTATTTTGGTGGTTGCTGATAGGGGAAGGAAGGAGGTTGAGGTCGATGATGGGTTTTACCTGGTATCAGTTGACTATGAGGGAGGGTTGAAGGTCGAGAGGGGATCGGTATTGGAGGAAATGGGAGTGAAGGAGAGTTTAGGAGCTGTGGTTATGGTTGTTAGACCGCCAAAAGAAGAGATTGATGATCAATTGAGTGATGAAGATTGGGAGTGAAAAGAATAGGTACTGAATGATATGCAGACTTGCATTCTATGCAGAACAAGAAAGAATGCAATTGAAAATAAGTTTTCATCCAAGTAGTGCCCGCAACCTCATATTGTTTCCTTTCGATGAGAGTTTAGAACAGTTGTATACTTCATTGTTTCTCCAGGTTCTTGCTCCTGAATAAATTGTTCGCTGTTACCTTTAAGAAATCCCCAATTTGACTACGAGTGCTGACTTAGGAGTGTTGAATTGTACATGTCATTTCTATAACTTCGCCTGCCACTAGTCGTGCCTTCTTTGCCATGCCTTCTTAATTAGTTCCTCATGCTAATCATACAGGAAATAAGGTCAAACAGATGAAATGCAGTAACAAACAGGTAGCAACACCAATGCACCAAAACTGAATTGTAGACACAAAAGGCAGCGTCTTGATCCTCTACAATGCAGAAAAGCTATTAGAGTGCGAATAAACATTGTTTTCAAAGTGCCAAAAATGCTAAAACTTCAAGAGAAATCATTACTTATCTTCTACTTCAGTTACACTCTCCATGAACAATTTGAACATTATATTGACATTGCTCAATAATCAAATTATTCCAAGTACTTGCTCGAAGGAATACGATAACAATCATCCAGAAAGATGCCAAGCATTCATTAACTCTCTAACCCACGCATATTTGAGAAGCAGTTCATATTTCCACCTCACAATAAGTAGACTTACAATTCTTTATTTATGTATACACGGATTCGTCATCACCCAACTGACCACATTCTTCGATTACAACTGGTTGAGAAGTCTTACCGCTATCTGAACCCACGCTTTCCATATGCTTAACAACAGCATAACCATGCATTACTTTACCAAACACGACATGCTTTCCGTCAAGCCATGGTGTTTTCTCAGTACATATAAAAAACTGAGACCCATTAGTGTTTGCACCAGCATTTGCCATTGAAAGGCAACCAGGACCGTTGTGCTTTAAATGGAAGTTCTCATCTGCAAATTTCAAACCATAGATTGATTCTCCTCCAGTACCATTACCTCTTGTGAAATCTCCACCCTGACACATGAAGTTTGGGATGATACGGTGAAATGTAGAGCCTTTATAGTGCAATGGCTTCCCAGATAATCCAATCCCCTTCTCCCCAGTGCAGAGGGCACGGAAATTCTCAGCTGTTTTTGGAACAGTGTCAGCAAACAACTCCATGACAACTCGACCAGCTTTTGCATTGCCAATCAGAATGTCAAAGAAAACTTTTGGGTTTGGCTTTACCATTTTCAAAACCTGCTGAAAATGAACATAAGTTTTCAGGTTTCTTCTTTTGGCTACTCAATACTGGTTAAATCCTTAGTATAAGATGGCCTATGTTCCATCTTAATAGCACAACCTTATTTTGTTAGCACAAAGACAACACCCATGAGCAAACAAGTAAACCAAATAAGTACCAAATGATACCAGCCAAACACAGAACAAATTGAGAGAACAACAGCAGGCAAGCCAGGACTGAGGAAACTAAAAACATATCCACAAAACCAGATAAACTAAAATTGAAACACACCAAAATTGCAATCCTTTTAAAAGTGTATGTTCAAAACAAAATTAATTAAACATCCCACGATTTCACTATCAATAACAAGACTAAATCCATATATCAAACCAAGGAAATCCCACAGGCACACATATACCAACAAACAAGTTCAGATTAAAAACACAAACACTTGATGTCCAATAACAAACATTACTGCAAGTGGGTATAAGAAAATGTAATCATCCACCATGAAAGCCTCAAGCTACAAGAAATGGGTGTATCAAGAGGACAACATTGGAAGGAAGATTGGTTGATCTTGCACAACTTTTGAGCTCACAGGTTTCCAAATAAAATCCCCTGAAGCCTTCGATGTGTGCTTTACACTCACACCCAGAAGCAAATTGATTATGCGAGAGTGAAAATGAAACTAATAAAAGGGAACAGAAAACGAAATAGAGAAATGGCATACCTTTGGGTGAGATCAGATTGGACTTTGGAGATAAGCTGGAAGATACGGGTAAGAGAATAGGGTTTTAGTATATATAGGCGCAAGGATGAAGTTTTAGGGTTTTAGTCAGGATTTTTACCTTTCGGCACTCACGCACCGTATTTTCTTATTGCTCCATTAACATCCTATAATTTTTGTGTTTTATAATTTGGCCCAAAACTAACGTGGAGGATAGGAAGTTAAAAACCAGCGAACGATACTACCACAGGCTAATTTTTGTGTTTTTTTATTTTTTTTATTTTTATCTCCAAGCACTCCTATGACCCTTAGAGGACCTTTCAATGAGTTTATAATTTTAAAATTTTTTGTTGAAAGCCTTGATTTTGATTTTGATGTATAAACCTTGAAAAACAAGTGAAAAGAGTTTAAAAGTAAAAGAGTTATTTCTTTATTGTATAGTCTTTCATAAGATATCATATGAAAAAAAAGGATGCCGACAAGTTAGAGAGCATGTGGCATTATCACTTATATCCTTTAGT